AGGTTTTACTATGTTCATCTACCCAATGGGGAAACAGGCTCAGAGAGTAAATGAACTCATCCAGGTTCACACAATCATCAAGAGACAAAGTGAGGACTTAGTAGTTGTCTGTGTGGCTCCCACGTACTAACCCTTGTCGATTACTGTCCCTGCTCTAGTTGATCCCAGGGCTCTAGAAGCCATGCTGCCAGGCCTACTCCTGGTGAGGACACTGGGCCAGGCAATGGGAAGCAGCTGTGGGGCTCCCTGAGCCAGACCTCTGTGCTGCCCTGAGGTGGGTTGGATTGATTTGCCAGACAAGCTTCTGCCCAGTGTCCAAGTGGGAAGGAGGAAAGAGAGGGGATTTAGAGTATTTAAATTGCAACTGTTTTTTTGTTTTGTTTTGTTTTGTTTTGTTTTGTTTTGCAACTGGTTTTTCAGATGGTTACAAACATTGGCCAGTTGAAAAAGGGGTGGAGGGATATATCCATTCTGTTACTGAAATATGGTTAACATTCCTGTTCCAGGTGAGGGAATATGTCTCCAAAAAGGTCCTACCAGAAGAAGCCCCTGCCCAGAAGCTGCTGGACAGAGGTGGAGAGGGGCTGCTGAGTTCCCAGCACCAGTGGCAGTTTAACCTGCTCACCCACGTGGAGTCTCTTCAGGATGAAGTCACACACAGGATGGACTCTATCGAGAAGGAACTGGATGGTAGGATTACTTCCTTGACCCCCGCCCATTTGCATGCGCTCTGAGTGTGCTTCTGATCCCTGCCCCCATGTCTTGAGCTGCTTTCTGAACTCCCCAGTTGGCCTCTCCTGAATAATTGTTCTTAGTTTTTGCTATAGGGCATGTGTGTTTGCTAGAGAAAGAAAGAGCCAAAGTGAGAAATCACGTGTATACCTCCCTCACGGGAGGGTGGCCATTCTATAATCCTTTCTCCTTCGTTCTTTTCACGGGATTTTGGGCGTGGATACACATGTGCCAGACTTATCTTCCAAGCCACCTGGTCCAGGACTTGAATTGTGCAGTTGGCCATGTAGGATGCAGCCTCCTTAACCACCACTTCTTTTGGCACGCCCAGTAGTCATATTTTTGCCTCTCCTTTTCAGCCTCATCCCTTCTCCATTTTCCCTTCAAGTTGAAGGAGAACCTCACTTTTGGTATTTATCAGGCACTTGTAAGGTCTGCATGATATCAGAGGTCCTGCTTCACTCACCCACTCCTTTCTGCCGATGAGCACCTGGACTCTGCTTGCAGGAAATGTGTAATCTGATCACATTTTTCCTGGGAAATTAAAAGTTTGACTTGAGTTTTTAGGATGTCTGAGGATTTAATCTGAAAAACCTTTCGTTTCAACCTCTGATAAAAATCTAAAATAAAGCCCCCTCCTCTTTAGCCCATTGAGATTCAAGAACTTGAGTCATTTGTTTAGCCCTGGGTATTTCTCCAGATGTTGGGGGTAGTGGACAAGTCTGATGGACTGGACTTGGGATGATGAACATGATGCAGCTCATGCTTGACCCTCAGGAAGTTGCCCATTTTGCGTGTTTTTTCATTTGTTTTTGAGAGGTTTTTCCTACAGGGTGCATGTGCTCGCTAGAAAGACAGAGACAGAAAGTGAGAAAGCACCCCCAGGTGTGATAGCCATGCTGCAATCCCTTCTCCTCCATTCTCCTCTCAGGATCTTGGGCATACATGCACACACACCCAGCGGGTGTTTAAGCCACTGGGTCCAGGACTCGAACCATGATCGACTACATGGGAGTCCAGTGACACAGGCATTATGCCAGCTGCTGGTTCCACCCATTTTGGGTTCTGAAGACAAAGTTCTTTCTTATTATTCACTTATTTCCTGATTGTTTGTTTTTATCTAAAAACAGAAATAAATGTTCTATTTGAGGATTCTGGACATAGTCAGGATACAGTTACCATAACTTGGGATTTAAAATATACTTACATGAAATAACGTAGGGAAAAATGCCATGTTAAGTATAAGCTAAGTGAGCCAGACCATAGTGTGGTGCTTATGGCAGCTGGATCTTATGTGACTGACTGGTTAGTTCAAGGTTCAGACCTGGTGACTTGAAAAAAACTCTCTGGGTTGGGACCAGCAAATGGTGTAATGGTTTCATCTCTGGACTCCCATGTAGTTGACCACAATTCAAATTCCAGACCTGTGGCTTAAAACTCACCATGGGCACGTGTGTGTGTGTGTGTTGTGTGTGTGTGTGGCCAACGTCACAAGAGGAAAATGGAGGAAAGGGGATTGCAGTGTAGCCATCCCCTCCCTGGGGTGGGAGTAATTTCTTGCTTTCTGTTTCTCTGTCTCTCGGACAAGTGCATGTGCCCCATAGCAGAAATCTCTTCAAAACAAAACAAAACAAAACAAACACTCTAGGCACATGTATATGTGTGCCCCAAATCTCAAAAGAAGGAGAAATTGAGGAGAAGGGATTGCAGTGTTACCATACCCCATGGGGATGGTGCTTTCTTGCTCTGCATACCCCTATTCCTGGCGAACACATGTGCCGTCTAGCACAATTTTTTATAAGAAAGTATAACTTAAGCTCGTGAAGCCTGTCCAGGGCACATGTGTGGCTGAGGCCATGCAGGGGGTGCGGGTGTGCTAACAGGGCTTCCTGGAACTTCTGGGACTAAAGCCCAGTCATGGGAAGAGTGATGATGTTTTCCCCTGGAAAAGGGGTGACTCAGGGTGGATGATGAGAGGACAAGCTCCACTGGAAAAGGGGTTGCCCTGTTGGAGGACAGTGAGAGAGAGATTTTGACCTAGGCCTCCTCAAGCTTTTGTCTTCCTCTGAGGGAAATCTGAGGGCACATGTGGAAGTGTTGCTTCTCTCTTACTCCTAAAAGGTCTTTTTGTCTTCCTTAGAACCGTAACTGATACCACTATCTAAAAACATGCTATTTAGACAGCTGAGAGAGGGTTGAATGCCAGACTAAAAATTGTGGATTTTAAAAGAATGTTAGGAGGAGCAGCTCTGGGTTTCTGAGAGGAGGCTTAGCACCTGGAAACGGTGAATGTTCTGTCGTTGCCAGAGAAACTTGCCCTTAAGGGAGAAGCTAGAGCGTAGGCTCATTCTACCTCCTTACTCCTCCTTGTCCAGCTTGGGCCTCTCCCGCCCTGGGCTTGCGGAGTGGGCAGTATGATGGGAATGAAAAGCCCGGGCTCCCTGCTTTGGTCTACCAGAGCGCCTCTTCTGTGTCCTGCTGACTTGGGGTCACACACTCTGTACTAATAGTCTAAGAAATCCTGAGAGTTACCAAGAAGGCATGAATATTAGTGATGAAGCTTAAAGAATTTATTTAAGTAATTATACTCTTGCATTGTATTGAGTCGTTGGGAAAATCATGATGTATTTTTCTGTGCAAAATGTGTCATGACTTTTCTGACCCAATAGTTAAGATTTATCCCTTTTTAGTGAGTCAACTCTTTGGTTCATGTAAAGACCATAAGCCAAGCTTTTTTTGAGAGGTTTTTTTGTTTGCTTGTTTTTTGCTATAGGGCATGTGTGCTTGCCAGAGAGACAGAACAATCCTTTCTCCTCCATTTTCCTCTTAGGATTTTGGGCACGCACACACATGCTTCCAGTGTGAGTTTCAGGCTGCCAGGTTCAGGACTCTAAACTGCAGTCAACCATGTAGGAATCCAGTACATTAACTACTATGCTACCTGCTGGCCCCAAGCCAAGCTTTTATAGGAATTTGGATGTAATATTTTTTTCAGGTTTCTTTTTTCCTCAGGTTTTTGCCATAGGGTGTGTATGCTAACTAGAGAGACAATGAGAGGGAAAGTGTGAAATCACCCCCTGTGGGGGGTTGGCCACGCTTCAATCCCTTCTCTTCCATTCTCCTCCTGGGATTTTTGGGGGTTCAAGTGCACACATGTGCCTGATGTGATTTTCAAACCTCTACTGTGGTTGGCCATGTGGGTGTCCAGTGCCTTAACCACCCCACCATCTGCTAGCCCCATAATAGTCTTTTTTTTAAAAAAAACCTAGTAAGCTATAGCAACTGTTAAAATTTTAAGGTTAGTCATTACTTAATATACATAACTTTGTGAACAGTACTTTAAAAGATAGGCTATTTAATGATTATGAAAAGTAAAATATTGGAAACCAGCAGGTGGTATGATGGTTAAGGTGCTGGACACTCCCACATGGCTGACCATGGTTTGAGTCCTGGACCTGGTGGCTTACTTTCTCACTTTCTCTGTGTGTGTGTGTGTGTGTGTGTGTGTGTGTGTGTTCAAATTAAAATAAATGAATGAATAAATAAAATAAAATTTCAAAAATTCCTTTAAAAAAGTAAAGTAAAATATTAAATCTTTGCACATTGGGAATATTTTCCTTAAGAAAAAATGTTACTTTAATGAAAAATGCCCTTTATCCAGGTGATCTCAGAAAGTATTTGAAATGGAACTTTCACTTGTAATAATATTCTGTCTCACTAGCAATCATTATACTCTTTTTAGATTTTGTTCCACATCCTTAAAAAGAAACTTGGGGTGATGGTTCAGCACATGGTAGGAAGAAGGCCAGCCTCCTGGGACTGGACCCAGAGGAGGATGCTATTGACCTATCATAGTTGTGGCTAAATTCCTAAGCTGGGCAGACCCAGAGAGACCTCAATAGCTCTAAACATGCCTACTAACCAAGCTCAGAGACCATTGAGTGACTTCAGTTCTTCTAGTCTGCATATGGGTGCTCTTTGTCCTTGTGCATATTTCCTGGGCCACTACAGTATTGGGATCTCTGTGGTAAGCCTGAAACCACATCAAAGGTAGTTAGATGACCTTTAAGAGGGGCCATTCAGCGGTTGTAGGATCATCTTGCCAAGACTGGGTTAGTCCCTTTTTTCCTCTTGGAATTGAGCCTGCCAGTCCTGACTGCTTTTCTCCCATTTATTCTTGTGCCTGTTTGCTGAGCAGGCCTGTCTTCTGTTTTTTTTTAATTAAAAATTTTATTTTCTTCTTTAAATGCCAGAGGGAGTGTACACTTGCCAGAGAAGGAGAGCAAAAAAGTACCTTCAGTGGGATGTGATTATGCCCAGTCCTTTTTCTCCCATTTCTCTATTCCATCAGGATTTGAGGCATGCCTGTACCCAGCCTATTTTTCAGGCCACTGGAGTCTGGATTCAAACTGTGGTCAGCCCTGTGGGACCTGGCTCCTGATATGCTGTACTTTATTACTGTACCATGGGGCCAGTTCTCTAGCTTTTTTTTTTTTTTTTGAGAGTTTTTTTTGCTATAGGGCGCGTGAGCTCGCCAGACAGACAGAGACAGACAGAGAGACAGAAAGCGAGAAATCACCCCCCAGGGGGGGATGGCCACGCCACAATCCCTTCTCCTCCATTCTCCTCTCGGGATCTTGGGCATGCACACACACGCGCCCGGCGTGAGTTTAAGCCACCAGGTCCGGGACTCGAACCGCGATCGACTACGTGGGAGTCCAGTGACATAGCCATTACGCTAACTGCTGGTCCCTCTAGATTTTTTTAAAGACTTGAAACTAGTCACTCGACTTTTTCTTGCTTAGGAGTTCACTGGTTCTGTCCTTTGATCGTTTACTGTTGGTTTTCAAGTTTAGGTCTATGAGCAATCTTATTTCTCTTATTCTCCCAATCCATATTTTTCATGAGATCAAGAGGAGGGAAAGTTATTCTTTATTGAAACCCCCTAATACTAACACCAAACATTGGGATATTGGGAAGGTCGTGATACATTTTTGCATAGGAAAACATTAAAAAAAAAAAACAAAAAAAAACACGTCATGGCTTTCCCAGCGACCTCATATAATGGACAAGGTGAGCTTCATGGAGTCCAGAGCAGTCTGTGAGGCACTTGGTTAGCCTGTTCACTCATTCTCTCATTGTGTGTTTCATGCCTGCTATGTTCTAGGTGCAGCTCAGCGGTAGGTAAATAGTGGTGAGCAAGGCAGACCCACCTTTGTTCCTATGGAGCTTGATCTAGTGAAAGATAGAGACAGATACTTATTAAATAACCCCATTGCATATAATTACAAACCATGGTAGGTGGTCCATGGAGAACATATGATACCATAGCACCTGTAACACAGAGACCAGATTCAGCATATAGATTTTCAGAAGGCTTCTTTAAGAATTAATTTACAGGGAACAAAATATTTAGAAAGGTGGAGAGAAAGTGAGGGCTCGGTCCAGGGAGGCGAGATTGTGGGTAGGCTGCTGATTGAGGAACAGGCACTGGGTGAGTCTGCTTCTTCCTGCACTCCAGGGTTCAGAAGGTGCTCAGTGCAGGCTGGCACATGGACTAGAAAGGCTTCAGACAGGCTGGGTAAATGCACAATTATCTGGAGGGGCTGGCTTTTGTCAAAGTTAGAGAGTTCCCAGGTAACCCAAATGCCAGAACTTCTGGGTAGCTTGGGGAAGAGTAAACATCCTTCTCTAGAGAAGTCCTTGTTCTCACAAGCAAGACAACATTCTAGATATTGAACCAATTATGATCAAGCGTATTAATACCTAGATACCTTACATTATATACTTAACAGGAGAAAATTAAATCAGAATTATGCCACTGTTGATCATATGCCAATCAGGAATTAATATGAAGCAGCCAGAATTTATGATGATAAAAACAGACCTTTTCAAGTCTCTCTAGATTTTCATTTTTCTTGATAGGCCACTAAAACACCAGGGTCTCTAATTTCTAGATGGGAAAGCTTTATAAGAGTTGGCAGTGACATTGAGAAGGATGAGTCCTAATTGTCTCTAGATGCTGTCCCAATATGGTGGCCATTAGTACTGTTTGCATGGCTATTTAAATAAATTAAAATATAATAAAATGTATTTATTTTGAGAGAGAGATTTTTGCTATAAGGTGCCTGTGCTTGCTCGGCAGACAGAGATAGAATATAGCAAAATATCACCCCCAGTAAGGATGGCCACGCCACAATCTCTTCTCCTCCATTCTCCTCTTGGGATTTTGGCCATGTATGCCAATGTGCCTGGTGTGAGTTTCAAGCTTCCAGGTCTGGAAAATGTAATAAAATTTAAAATTCATTTTCTTAGTGCACTAGCCACATTCAAGAACCCAATAGCTACCTGAGGGTAGTGGCTACTGTAGTGGCCAACATGGACATGGATCATTACCATCATTGCAGAAAGTTATTATGGATTGTGCTGCTCTAAAGTATTTAACTGTGTCCCAGGAGTAGTAAGTACTTTGTATAGCAAAGTGTGAGACTGTGTTGTCTGAACTGGCTTTCCCTTCTTTCCCCCATGAATAATCAGATGGGATAAGGTGCTGAAACTTTTGGACATGCTCTTGCAAATCAAGAGTTGAGAGCTCACTTGGTCTTACTTATATTTCACTTTTGCCAACAGTGTTGGAGAGCTGGCTGGACTATACCGGGGAGCTGGAGCCCCCAGAGCCGCTGGCCAGGCTTCCACAACTGAAGCATTGCATCAAGCAGCTGCTGACGGACCTGGGCAAGGTGCAGCAGATCGCCCTCTGCTGCTCAACATGAAACTGGGCACCCGGAACTAATGGGGGCACAATCCTGGGGCACCTGCAGGAGGAGCTTCGCATATTTAAATAAATAAACCTAGCATGCTGAATGCACGTGACACTGACTGACTTCAGGGATCTGGGCAAGAGTGTGAAGGACATTGAACAATGAGGCCATTTTGGCTGCTGGAAGGCAGGGCACTCTGATTTCAGCCTACCAAGAAGGTAGCAAACCAACTCTTGGGATTCCCTTCTGTGCACATCGTTGAATGAAGAGAGTCTTTTTGCACAAACTTCACTTGAAATCGTGCCACTGATGATAAACGGAATGAGAGCCAAAAAAATTTAGTTGGAAACAGTTGAAATTTGCAGTTTATTTAATTGACTTTTCTGTCAGGTTGGGGCATATGCCAGCCCTTTGAGTTTCTGCCTGGCATGGTGTTTAGGCCACAGGCATCATTTTCATTTTCCAGCTTCATGGGAATGTTGTGACTTAACTGTTCTGTGGAAGTTGAGAAGCAGCAGAGGCCTTGGTTTGCCCTGCCTTCTCTTTAGGACTGACTCTTCACTTTCGCACCACATCTCTTGCTTGATTTCATGGTACCAGGACAAGTTTTGTATGCTTTCACCTGAGTTGGCTGGGTTGTGGCTTTTGTAGCAGAGCCCATGCAGCCCGTGGAGGAACTAGTCTCACTGTAATAAGAATCTAGTAGGAATTCTAAACTGAAGCAGGCAGGGTCCGGAACCCAAAGGACAACAATTTCTACTCATTTCTTAATATTGACAGCTTCCCAGTTCTATTTAATGTCCAAAAATGTTTCCCAAAATTTTGAACTCTTTCACTGTAAAGATTTGTTACAAAGAATGTGGTTTGGGGAATTACCTTATTTTATATTGTTGTTAACAAACTTCAGATTCTACATGTGCCGCTTTTTTCCTTCCCTGAAAGGTATGTCCAGTAGTTGGAATTTCAGACTTGTTTTGTTAATATACTTTAAATTTTCTGTATTATTTTGTGAGATCAAAGTGATTATGCTGCTTAAGGTCTAGGTACAATCTGTTTGTACCTTTTGAGACAATATTTGTGTTACTTTTACAGGTTACGGTTCCACGTGTAATTGCTGTTAGTTTGTTTTTATTAGACAGAGTTAAAGAAAATGTTCCATGCTTTGAAGAGTGACCCATTTCACTAGTTTTATCACTAAAAACAAAAATCAAAGCACAGTTGTCCATTAACACTCACAAGTTAATTATGGGTTTATGAATCTGTAATGTTATATGCTGCAAATATTTACTATGTAAACATGAAGTAGCCAATATCTCTCAATAGCAATGACAGTTATCTCCAGTGACCTTTGGGATGGTAAGGCTTTAAGTCATAGGTCATGGTGGTCATAAATTCAGGCCTCTGTACTAAGATCTGTTTCAGGGAATGCTCTAGTGATTTGTTCATGATTTGATATAAAATGAATTATAAGACAAGTGAAAGTTGACCTGCTGTAGCTTATCTGTCAGAGGGAATACACAACAGCTGAAACATCTATATTAAAGCCAACACAATTCCTCTACAAGAGGCTGTTTCCCACTGCTAACATAGGTGTATTTGGTGTGAGAAATGTTCAAAGAGTGTGCATGGCCTCTATGTTTTGGATAATTTATCAGCATTATAAGAATTGTATGATGCTTGTATGAAAAGGGAAGAAACATAATTTTCTATAGCCACAACTGTGAGGTATGATGATTGTTGTATTATTAGATTACTGACTTTTTTTTCCCTAAAAATACATTTTGAGTATCACATCTGGGAAAGCTGTAACTCTTAAGATAGTCAATTTCTTGTCTTGTTCAAGAGTGAATTACCCTAATTTTGCCAAGTGGCCATTATTAGGTTTATTGTTTAAGTTTTGTAAAGGAAATAATCTCATTTTATTCATTGTAACTTTCATTCTTAGGGAAGCAGGGAAGACTCCCCAAGTTTTGATAACCTCAGTGTGCTTCCCTAATTTAAAGCCATGTTTGGGGGGCTCCATTCCCAATTACTGGGTCAAGTTGAATTTACCCCAAGTTGGAGCACTGGAAACTGTTTTTTGCAAACATTGCAATTACCATTTAGAAGTATGTGCACTACCTAAGTTTTGTCCACCTATAAAAAATTGCCTTGACAAAAACAGTTCTGGTTTGACTAATCATTTTGCATCTTTAAGTAGTGAGTATATGCAAGGTGGATCCTTGATGAGCCAACATTGCACTGTGGATACGTATCTATGTTTACGCGCTATTAGAACAAAAGGCGCTGTATATAGAAATGTTGCTTTGAAGCAATATTTGCAAAACATGGAAGCTTCTGTATCTGTATTTGGAAAAAATAAAAACAGGTTCTTGTTGCTATGTTTCAGTCACATACTCAATCTTAAGTCCTTCATCTTTTTCTTGCCAGAGGACAGGTGCACTTGCAGGGATTGAGGGCAGGAATTAGAAAGCACCTGTCTCACTTCCCCCATGGGGAATGGGCACACTGTGGTCCATTTTCCATTTCTCCCTTTTTTCAGGATTTTGGGCACTCATGCCAGGCTCATTTTTCAAGCCACAGGGTCCAGTACTGAACTACATGGTCTACCTGTGGTATCCAGCTGCTTTAACCACCATACCGACTGCCCCTGGATTTCAAAATAATTTTAACACAAAAATAAACTTGTATTGGGACCAGCAGTTAGTGTAATGGTTATGTCGCTGTACTCCCATGTAGTTGACCGCAGTTCGAGTCCCGGACCCGGTGGCTTAAACTCAAGCCAGGTGCATGTGCGTGTATGCCCAAGATCCCGAGAGAACCGAGAAGGGATTGTGGCCATCCCCCCTGGGGGGTGATTTCTTGCTCTGTCTCTCTGCCTCTCTCTGTCTGGCGAGTGCACACACCGTATAGCAAAAACCTTGCATTTTAATTCCTTTTTTCCACAAACCTTTTGAACATCCCAACATACACATACATACATACATACACACACACACACACACATACACATACACTTCATTAAGAGATGGCACTCATCAAGATAGAACCTCTTTGGGATCAACCCAGGCTGCCTGTGGACCCCAACTAACTTCTCTCTGGATTGGTTGAAGTCTTAAGGAAGTTTTATAGCTGGTCCTCATTACATGCCAAATTCTGTCCTCTTTCCAAACAGTTATGCTTGTTAAAAGGGTGGGGGCAGCTCTGTGGCACAGAGGAGTAATGCATAGAGAAGGTAGATCCCATATCATAACTGCAGTTCAAATCCTCAACCCAGGCAATTTTGAAAACAATCCAGGTATGCAGGTGAGTGCCCCAAATCCCATGGGTTGAAGGGGACTGTGGCAGGACCAGACTCTGTTGAGGGTGCTTGCTCCAATCTCTCACACTCCACACTATCATAAAAATAAATAAAAGGCAGTTGGAGACACATTAAAATGAACAGCCTTAGTAATTAATCCTTACTTAACACCAGCCCTGCTTCTCAAATCTTAAGAGACCTAAAATTTAGCAAAGAGGTGAGCAAGCCTGGAGGCATAAACCAGAGCTCTCTAAGGGCAGAAACTAAAACACTTCACATTAAAACAATAAGGGGATTTGTGTGAAGCCTGCGGGTGTGCACGATGGAGGCTGTGTTGGTACAGAGGTAGCCGGATGAGTGAGCACTGAACAGAGCCAGCTGTTTTGCCTGCAGGATCCCACAACCACTTCCTACCTGTAGGGCGATCCGCTATCAACTTTTCAAGTAGAAAAAATAATTTAGATTTTAGCTTGTTTCTGTAGAGAGGCAGGATCAGAACTCAGACTGCTGGAATCCTCAACTGACAATGCCTCCCACTAAACAAAGGAAACCCAAGCGGCTCTTTGGGAGCTAAGAAAGAAAACTTCCCAGAGGTGGTGGAGTGATGGCTCAGTTCTAGCGAATATTTAAGGATCTGACAATATCAATGAAGGCCCAGGGAACAAGGACAAAGGCCTTTTCTCGTGCGCTCGCAACTAGCCAGAACGGGGAAAAAGCTCGGTAAAATAAACCCAATGAAGGACGAACAAAAGAAACACACCAGACTACAGGAGCTTCCAAAACTCGTCTTTCATTAATACGGGTTGGGGTGCCAGGATCAGGCTCTGGGACCAGATCACAACCCTGGTCCGACCTGGGCTGCCTGCAGCTCCTCCGCTCAGCCGGTGATGCGTACATCCGTGCGGCGGCGAAGCCGCCGGGCCCGCGCCGCCTCCGGCAGGGGAGCGAGGAGG